ACTACCAGTTAAACTGAATAGTCACCCCTTTTCCTAATATTTTTGGTAGATAGATGTTAATTATATTTATATTTATGTATTCTGAAGCACACTCCTCAGGCACATAAGTCCTTGAAGCTGAAAAGTTTCCATGGTCCTTTTTACTATTATTTTTTATTCTTTCAAAAAGGAACAGAAATATATTTTATTACTTGCTTAATTTTAGTTTTTCCATTGTCCTCATTTCAGAATGAGAATCTTTAAATTGTTTTTTAATTTAATTTTTTAAAAAATAATATTTGAAGGTCATTCTTTAAGTCAGAATTTTCTGCACAATGGCCTGGTATGTGAAAAGGAGATAAGCAGTATTTTCTCCATTTTAGGACAAGAAAAACAGGGGTTATCCTTTAACAAAAGAATCCTTCTCCAGGTTTTGTTTTTCTTCTTCAGCTAATTAAAAGGCTTTGTTTCAAAGAAAAGCTATAGACCAGATTTCTAAGTCTTCATTACGCAAAGGGCAGTGTCAAATTGGAGGATCAACTTTTTTTCCATTCCTTCTCTCCATTCCCACTGACACAACCGCAAATACTTAAAACAGTGAGATTTAATTGCTTTATCTCAACAGCAGTCACATGAGTTTATAGAATCAAAGAAATCTAGAATTAGGAATAATTAGTACAGCATTTAACTTAGGGATGGGATATGTGATGGGCAATGTAGCTCCCCTCCACCCCGTCTCATCTGTGGCAGACATCACTAATCAATTACTGAACCTAAATGTGACCCAACAGATGTTTTCTGCATAATGCCCCCAGCTGTCATTACCAAGTAATTGGAGCTGCCAGTGAGACCCTACCTGAACTAATCTAATCACCTTACATTATAACATTGAGGCCTATAAAGGTAAAGTGACTGGCCCAAGGTCACTCAGTGGCTGACAGAGAACCCCTATTTTGTATAATGTAAGAATCTGTTCTCTTATGAGCCTTGAATCAATTGACTATGTCCCAGTTCCCAGCAAGGGCACATAAGAGTCTATACAGGGTAGATCATTTCTATCTGGGAAGACAGGTTCCTATGGCATCAAGAAACCCAAGGGAGCAGCCAGAGACAGACAGCAAGACATTACTGTTCCTCCTTATATTCCAGTGAGGGCAGGGGATAGAGGGGAGGAAAATTAAGATCTTCTACAAGCCTTATGACTATGGAATTCTTGAAACTGTCCCACCAGGTAGTAGGGAAAGAAGGAAGGTGTCCCTCTACAAGTGGCAGTCCACAAGAAGGGTGCCCAACTCCCCTCCTGTTGTACTTGTTCATGTTCCCACAACCAAGGTTTAGAAGTTGTTCAGAAACTAAATAACTAAAGTAGTCCTACTCTAGTCACTTTTTATCCCAGCATCCTGTTTTACTTTCTTCTTAACATTCTCAGAATTTATCTAATATATCTAAGCGTGTAATTTTGTTTAAGACATATTTGAATCTGACGGATGAAATTCCTTTAGGTAATAACCTCTTTGGGGAAGAAACACCAAGTATTTCCTACAACTTCTCTCTGCTTCTGCACATGTCCCTAAAATAGCGTTGTTGGTGTGTAGGAAGCGTTATATTGCTGAGGAAGCCTGAGACCTTGGAATCATTTTGTGTCCTTGTACTATTCTCTGACTTCTCTGGATGCTCAACAACCTGTTCATCGCGAGCAGTATATCTTGTAGCTTGGCCTCACTAAGCTTGCTGAGAACATGGGGGCAAACCAGTTCTTCCTGAGATCTGGCTATTACTACTTTTTGTTCCCAGCCCGATCTTCAAAGCTGCCTCCCCCTATTCTTGCCAGCCAGTTCTCTTGGCTACCTTCCCTATTCCTCCACAGGGTGTTTGGGAACTTCTGGATACATTCCATATCACACTGGAGCTAAGGGCCCCTCACTTGCAGAGCTCCTTCCAAAACCCTGTATCTAATTTTGTATATGGAATTCTGTGGGAAGACAGAGGCATGTGTCTCTCAATCGTTGCCTCTCTTATCGCTCTCTTCCTTCTTCCCTCTACCTTTTAATTAAGAGTCAGGCTTTTCTTTTACTTCCCTATGTCACAGGTTCATGGCAGAGCTGTCCTAGACGGAAGGAGTATCTCCTCTGGAATGTGGGAGAATATGAGATTCTTATGATGTGAACTTCATAGGTTAAACAGAATTAAGGAAATTTAGCAAATTCTTTTTCTCTCCACTAAGCCTATTCTAGTCTCTCCTGATTAGGGAAATAAGTCTCAGAGCTACACTTCAGACAATAGTCTATAATGGAACATAATTTAAAGAAGAAAATTAAAATCAATCAGTTTGATATTCACAAAATATTACACCATTATATTCTACATTTTTTAAAGAGAAGTCAGAAAATTGGATTAGTATGTGAAATATCCCTTTTTAAATGTTGGCATATAATCAATATCTTAATTTAAAAATTATAAAAATATATAAAATAATATGCTCTTTTGCTGTTAGGAACCAAAAGTGTTCTAAGAGACTTAGAGGTATTAACTAATTATCCCAAAAACCTATTTTACAGATGAGGAAACTGAGACACAGAGCAAGTAACCTGACTAAACTGTACATGGTGCAAACCAAATACATGACTGTGAGAAAAATTTGTCTGCAAAACCACCAATCTGCAACCTCCTGTTTATGATATATTTGCATAAGCTAGAAAGAAAAAGGCTTTGAATTCTGACTTGGCTTCTCTGCTGAATGATATTGGACTGTCACTTAAAAAAACCATTTAACCTTGCAGTGCTCACTAAGTGGTGGTTTTCTATTCTCTCCTTCCCCCCACATGGATGATTGCTCTGAACGTTCATGGTATGCTTGTATATTATCTGGAATGCATAAATCCTGCCTACTGTTCAAGACCCAACACACTCCCAATACCTCTAGAAACAGTCTGATATAGGAGACAGCCCTAGGCTCTGTTCCAGTCCTGATATTGTTCCTAATCCTTTGTGTGATCTCAAGCAAGTCACATCTTATCTCTGCGCCTCAGTGGCTCCGTCTTTAAAATGTGGAGGAAATCAATGGCTTTAAACTGTATTCTGAGAAACAGAACATTTCTCTAACAGTGGGGACATCAAAGAAGGAGAACAATGAGTGCAAGGGGGAAGCTGGGTGAACAGGCGTATGGCTTCTCCATTTCCACTTCAAATTTAGCAACTCCATTTTAAGCCGCCAGATTTTATTAGAAGGAAATGACTAGACCTTTTATGTACCCAGATTCCCTGGAACTATCTTTTCTTGGCTTCTCTTTTTTTTTTTTTTTTTTTTTTTTTTGCGGTACGCGGGCCTCTCACTGTTGTGGCCTCTCCCGTTGTGGAGCACAGGCTCCGGACGCGCAGGCTCAGCGGCCATGGCTCACGAGCCCATCCACTCCCGGCATGTGGGATCTTCCCGGACCGGGGCACGAACCCGTGTCCCCTGCATCGGCAGGCGGACTTTAAACCACTGCGCCACCAGGGAGGCCCTCTTGGCTTCTCTTTTGAATTCCTTCTTGTTCTTAACATGGAACTGAAGGGTCTGACGCGTCTTTTAAATTCTGGCTAAGATAACACTTATTTATTTATTTATTTATGGCTTTCTCTCCTCTTTCCTACCCAAAAGTGAAATTAAAGGTGAACAAGAGTAAGCAAAGACCAGCATGGAAACTTCTAGCAATCTCACAGAGAGTTTTCAGCAAAATGTGATGGATTAGGAAACTTCTTAGTTTCAAAACAGCTACCAAGTAACATATAAAAGTTAAAGTGACACACATAAGTTATTATCTCATTATCCTCATATATCTCATTATAATTTTATGAGTTGCTCCTTTGCATTTGAATATTTCTCATCATGGGGAATGCCTTTCAGGAAGCAAATTCTTTGTATTTCTTTCTTATATGATTGCCCCGAAGCTATCATTATAACTCCATTAGGGCAATTTTTCTCCATCTGAGGGTGGGGCACCGGAATAGATGAAGAGGAATGGATCAAGCCCTCATTTTCTTCAGCCATCTTCAGCTCTGGTTTCAGGGCAAGATAGACCCAAATCTCCTTCCCAATTTTCTGCTTAGAGAATAAGATGCTCATGCTTTGAGTCAGATTCTCAAAGTTCCTTCGGTGGAGGTGAATGAGGACACACAATATTTGCAAACCATCACACAACTTCAGAGGATAATTACAGTATTCTTGAAATATCATGAACTTTCATTTTTAATCTTCTAGATTAAAATGAATTTATTTCTTGTTTCGAAGACAGCTTGGTGCATTAAAAACCCTGGAGGGTTGTTACTCAAGTCTTGATTCTAATTTCACACCAACCTCTACATGCTTTGGGGCAAATTACTTCCCCTGACCAGGCTGCAATTTTACCACTGGGAACTTCACAGTAGATGGTTCCTGAGATCCTTCTCGATTTAGATATTCAAAGGACAAATTACTACCGGGGAAATTATCTCCAGTTGTTTGTTCAGTCTTCAAAATCACCAAAGGATTTGGCTTTGACATTAGGCTATCAAAGTTGTCCCTTAATATTCTATGTCCTGTGCTTCAGATTGGGCTGTCTAAAGGCAGGCAAGCTGGATCTTCTTGAGATGACTGGCTTGTTCCCTCATTGCTTGGGATTCTTCACATTCAGAGGTCCACTGTGAACTTCAGCTCACCACCATCTTCCCCTTACAATGGTATCTCTGCAGTCAGGTGTAAGATGGTGATCTGGACCCCTCACTGACATTTCACCCAATACTCCAGACAGCCCTTTTACTAATTTCTTTCATTCCTCCTTCATCACTGCGTCATGGTCCCTTTAAGGGAGCGGCCATAGTTGAGTAGTGGGAGCAGCTGCTGGCTGCAAAAAGACTTGCAGGATTTGGCCTACCCTGGGCCACTCAACGCGCACGCTCGGGACCGGGGGCTTGGTGGGAAAGGAAGGAGGGGCTTAGGGTGCGCCTGCGCATCAAGGGCGCGCGCAAGGGGCTGGTTTGGTGATCCCTTTAAGAAACCGCAGGCGGAGGAATTTCTCTGAGAGAAAATAATCCTACTCACGGGGCCCCTTGGAGGCCATTAACCCCCCGAGTCCCGGCCCCCCCCCCCTTTCCCGGGCAGGCCCTACCGCCTACGCGCGCACCCGTGGGATCTCAAGATCTCCGACCCGGCGCGCGGCATCCGCCCCCTCCCCACTGTAATCGCCAGGCTCGGCCAGGTCCGGGGAAGCTGCCGCGAGGCGGCCGTGCCTGCAGTGTGGGCGGGGGCCGGGGGCCCGAGAGGTTCCGCCGCCACAGCGCTGGGAGCCGCAGTGGTTCCGAGCGGGGCTCAACATGGCGGAGAGAGAGGTGGAGTCCAGCCCCCGAAAGAGGGTAGGTGAGGTGAGGCAGAACTCGGGCGGCGGGCGGCGGGGGGCGGGGCGGGGGCCGCGTCCCGGGGCCGGGGCCGGGAATGGGCCATGCGTAGGCTCGTGGAGGGGTCGCCGAGGCCCGGTTGGGGAAAGGTTGCGGGCAGGACTGAGGCAACCTTGGGTCTGGAGCGCGCTTAGAGTGGTCCTTCGGCAGGTGGGACAAAGATTTGCTGCTGGTTGGGAGGGGGAGGGGCGGGGGCTGTTGTTTGGGTTTTTTTATTTTTCCAACACTGAGGGTGGGTTATTTGGGTCAGGGGAGGGAAGGTGTCAGATACTTAAGTGCATCTTTGGTGAACCAGAGTCTGGAAGTTTAACAGGAGAGAGGTCAGGTGGGGGTGGTGGTGGCGGGAATGAGTGGTGGAGGGGTCTTCGGTGATACCATCGCGAATTCATTTTCCTGCCTCCTTTCCACTCCCTCCCCCACCAACCGTTATCAAGACCAAGGTGGAGGTGGTGCTCTTACCTGAGAAGAAGTGGGGTCGTTGGCATGCCTTGATGTATGAGAAAGATTTTGGCAACTATGAATGTCATTTTCTAGTCTAGCCCCTTTACCAACATTTGAGAAGGTGGAAGAGTGTGACAAGTTTTGTCATATCAAGGATGTACGCAAACAACCTGCAGAGGCGAAGCCAATTCCACATAGTTGTTGAGTGCCTTTTAAAGTTTGTCTTGAAACTTTTCTTATTTAATTATGAGTGATTTTTTTTTCAGATGGAGAATAATACAGTACTGTCGATTGAGCAGTATTTTTAGATTTTTTCTTTTACCCCCCGCCGCCCTCCCGCTTAGCGTGTTAAGCAGTAAGTTTACTACCAGGAATCTTCCTTTTTGTGAATGGTATCAAAATGAAGTTAGTGTTAAGCTAACTGCCTAAAAAATTACTGCGTAATCTTTATTGAGAATGCCCTTTCGATTTATCATAAAGTTAGCAATCTCATATAGATAATACAACTAACATTTTGAGTGCTTACCATGTGCCTGGCACTGTGCTTTATAGGAAGAATTAAACCTCACATTTACTATGTAAAACACATTTTGCAGATGAGGAAATGTAGGCGTAGAGGGGTTGAATAGTTAAGATCAGATAGTTAAGAGGTTGAGCTGGGATTTGAATCCATGTTTGTCCCAACTACGGTGCTTGTTTTGCATGCCACATAGTTTTTAAAATCTGTGTTTCTCTCCTTAAAAGCTTAAATGGTAAATAACGAGGGAAGTGTCAAGCAGTATTTTTTCTACAATTGATTAGGAAAATATTTTCAACTACATAGCTGAAAAAATTTACAGGGAGTGTCCATAGTATCCACCATCTAGATTCTACCATTAACATTTTACTATACTTGTTCTATCACATATTTATCCACATTTATCTCTTTATTCATCAGTTCTTATTTTAATGCATTTCACTGTAGTATTGAGCAATTAAAATTTATTGTTGATAGTCTTAGGTCTATAAAATTTTACATCTCCCTCATGCAATAATTAGATCTTCCTCATACATAGGACAAATTAAGCTGTGTGATAGTATGTCCAAATAGTTCACTTAGTATAAATATTGGTTATGGAATGCACGTGTTTTGAAATTTTAAATTGTTCTTCATGCTGTGAGCCAGTTTTAAACTGGATCCTCATTATGCTTGAGTGAAGGCGTATGGCATGTGGTCCACCAATTAAAATATAAAGAATAAATTATTTTAGATGTGTAATTTTATTCAAGGAGGTCTCTGAATCCAGTTAATACTAGTGCTGTTGTCATTCACAGTATAAAATAGAATGTTTTAGAAAACATCTGTGTGCTTTGGTAACAAATTCAACTAGATATTAAATACTTCTTTCTCTTCTAATATACTTAAAAGGTGCCACACAGCTAGCAGTCTAAACTTTTATTATTATTTTATTTTATTTTATTTTATTTTTGCGGTACGCGGGCCTTTCACTGCCGTGGCCTCTCCCGTTGCAGAGCACAGGCTCCGGACGCGCAGGCTCAGCGGCCATGGCTCACGGGCCCAGCCGCTCCACAGCATGTGGGATCTTCCCGGACCGGGGCACGAACCCGTGTCCCCTGCATCGGCAGGCGGACTCCCAACCACTGCGCCATCAGGGAAGCCCTAAACTTTTATTATTTTTTAACAGTATGTAATATACAGAGCACTCGTACAGGTTTTCCCCATTATTTTACCAGTTTCATTGTGGAGGAAGGTTACAGTCAGTGTCTTTTAGGCTCCATAATCCATTTTGGTTTTGATAGTTTGGTTAGAATGTTCAGTAGAGTTGTCTTAAATGGTACACATGGTGCATGTGCTTTTTTTCCTTCATTTTTCGTCGGTGCCTGTGCTTAAACTCCACGTGGATTCCATATGTGTACTCCAAGCAGATTAGTGGGGACTGTGTACAAAAGTACAGTATCTTATAAAATAGTTTGCCTTGAGGTAGTTAGGCCTAGATAATAAGTTTAGATTATTTAATCTGAAATTTCATTGATGACATGGTATTGTATTTTTTTTTTTTTTTAAACATCTTTATTGGGGTATAATTGCTTTACAATGGTGTGTTAGTTTCTGCTTTATAACAAAGTGAATCAGTTATACATATACATATG